GAGTAATGGGCACATTGAGTTTTCTCTTGACCTCACAGCATTAATTTGTATATCTTGCAATACTCAGGTGTATGCGTGTGTGTGCATGTGCGCCTTCAAGTGACCTGTCAGTTCATGGCATCCCCATGAATTGCATAGGATTTTCAGAGGTTATGGCCAGTCGTTTACTCTGAAATAGAGCTTACAGTGCCTGGTATTACTTGGTGGTCCTGGTATTCATTGTACTAACTAGGACTGATGCTCCTTAGTTTCCATTATCAGAGAGAATCTGGTGCCTTTAGGGTTTGTTGTTGTTGTTGTGTGCCTTCATGCCATTTCTGACTTATCCCAACCCTAAGGCAATCTTTCTTGGCAAGATTTGTTCAGAGGGGGTTTGCCTTTGCCTTCATTTGAGGCTGAGAGTGTGGGACTTGCCCATGTTGGGTTTGCATGACCAAGCAGGGATTTGATCCCCAGAGTTGTCGTCCAGTGCTCAAACCACTACACCATGTTGGTAGGCCCAAATATTTGTTGTTGTACCCCTTCCAAGTTATTTCCAACTTATGACAAATCTATCACAGGGTTTTCTGGGGCTGAGAATGTGTGACTTGCCCAGTGGGCTTCTGTACCCGAGCAGGGAATCGAACTCTGATTTCCAGAGTCATCATCTTAATGCTCAAACCACTACACCATACTGGCTGCAAAAGAAACTGAAGCAGAATCTCAGCAGTCTGGGGCAGCCTAATGCAGCATCTCAGGCTGCAGCAAAATCATTGGTGATGCGCAAGACTTTCTTCCTTTTAATAGCTGGGCAGCACTCTTGGTTTGTTTGTTTTCTCTCTCTCTTCTTTGATTCCTGATAACAGAACATTGCTGTAAATCCTCACAAGCTTAGAAGTTCACAAAGGTTCTAGGATAGTTTGCTCTCATTCAAAGACACAGAAGTGCCAGCTGGGGAAATCCATCTTCTCTGGTTTGGTTTGTAGTAGACTCCAGGAGATCAGGATTCCGATGCCCACTCAGCCATGGAAGCCTGTTGAATGACCTTGGGCAAGTCACACTTTCTCAGCCTTGGAGGGAGGCCAAAGCAGTCCCCTCTCTGAAGAAATCTTGCTATGAAAACCCTGTGATAGGTCTCCTCCATAAGTTGGAAATGGCCTATAAAAAGAACAACGCAAGACTGCAAGTGTCCTCCCAGTCAGTGATGACACCTTTCCCAGGTCTTTTTGGAGAAAGCCTATCAAGATAATGATGTTTTCAAGAAATCCCAAACAAGTCTGTCCCTCTAAGACAGGAACTCTGCTTCTGCCGGTGCATGGATAAAAGAGAACCCCCCAAATCTTTAGAGGAGGTGTCTCCAGCCAGATTGGCTTCTTTTCCTCCCTGTGGGAATGTGTCTTTGTAATGTGGAAGTCAGCTGTGTAAGAGGAAGGGGAAGGGGTCTGGAATTGCCATGCTTCTGTGAATTGGGAGGACTTACAGAAGGGCGGTTTGCTTTTCATCTGAGCTTCTGTCCCCGGGGCTAAAGCGGACAGCTGCTGTTCATAAACTCACATTGGGCCTTTAACAGAAGGACATTGCAGGACTGTAATAAAAAGTGGTCTAATCTTTGAGCTAGGCTTGCCCTTGGAGTCAGGACTGTTGCATAGCTTTGGCTAACTACAAACCCTGATAATTGGACAATGTTGGTTTACTAGGAACCTTGGTTTGAGATGTCCTTTCCTCCTTTTCAGGAGTGTTGCAAAATGTGGGTGGTTGTTTTTTTGTTTTAGAAAGGTGCAAAACAGTTGCAAAACTTTGACACAGGTTTGGAGTGCATCAGACAATGGAGTTTATCACACGGGAGGGAAGCAGCCAAATCCTGTGGATAAACAAGGTTTAAATCTGGGAAATACCTGCAAAAGCAGGATTGTTTTCAGACAATGTCAGGCTAATTGAGCATTAACCCGACATTAACCCGTTCAGAAAGTTGCCAAATCTCACTGCTTTTTACTTTCAGGAAAATCCCAAAAGTAAAAAGCAGTGCGATTTTGCCCACTTTCTGCACAGGTTAATGTTGCGTTAATGCTCAATTAGCCCAATGTGTCTGAAAACAACCCCGCTTTTGCCGGTTTTCTCTGGGATTTAAACCCCATTTATCCACAGGATTTGGGCACTTTGCCTCCCGTCTGAGTGTGATAAACTCCAATGTTGGATTTTGAAGGTTTACTGAGAATGTCAGTTTGAGACACCCAGTTCTGGGGGCTTTGCAAAACATGGTTTTTGTTGCCAATATTGCAAAACAATTGCAAGATTTGGGCACAGGTTTGGAGGGGATTCCAAATTTCAGGGTTCGTAGTTACCAGAGTTTTGTTGTATGGAGACTGCTGTGTCACATTCAGTTGTTGTTTGCCTTCAAGTCGTTTCGACTTATGACGACCCTAAGGCAAACCTACTATGGAGTTTTCTTGGCAAGATTTGTTCAGAGGTGGTTTGCCATGGCATTCTTCTGAGGCTGAGAGAGTGTGACTTGCCCAAGGTCACCCGGGGGGTTTTCATGTCTAAGTCAGGAATTGAACCTAGGTCTCCAGACACTTAAACCACTAGGCCTTTTCTCTGCTCTCTTCCCCTTTCACCTTGCCGCTGCATTCTCTGTCCTTAGGACTCCCTGCCTTCTCTCGGCTGGTGGTGTGGCCTTTAGCTTGCCTCCGCGGAGCTTTGTATGTTATGTTTGTGGCTTTATTCCCAACCAAACAGACAACTGTCTCTTCTTGCTGAAGCCGGACTGTGAACTTTTGTTGCCTTGTTCCCTGAGCAATTGAAATGTTTGAGGCCTCTGGACTAGCTCAAGGTGCATCTTCATTGCAGAAATAATGCGGTTTGACACCACGTTAACTGCCATGGCTTCCCTTTACAGAAACCTGGGATTGGTAGGCACCAGAGCTCTCTGACCGACCAGGCTGCATATTTCACCAAACTACAAATCCCAGGATTCTGGAGAATAGAGTCATGGCACCCAAACTGCTTTAATTCTGGCCTTGGAATTTGCTTGGCTAGTGCTCCTATTTTATAGTTGACAAGCTTCCAGCCTTTGCTACTGTGTCTTCCTTGTTTTGCAAGAACAGGGTTGCTGAAAGAGGCAGGATAACCTCAGACCTGCCTTGATGCCAAGAAAAGAGGAGCAAATGTGACCGGCATGTGAGACAAGAGTTCTCTGGAAGCTGTGCCTTTTGCAAGTCAAGCAGACCATTTGTGCAAGGTGTCTGAGCAAAGAAGCTAAAGATCAGGGTGCAGGAAAT